TGCATTGAGCAGGGTGGGCTGGGGCCAGAGTTTGAGAACCACTGAGCTAGATGGTCACAGGGGTGGCAGGCCATGGCGCTGGACAAAATGTTGGGTGCTGGGGCTGCTGTAGGGGCTGGGGGCGCTGGCAGCATGGGTAGCCTGGCCACGCGGGGGTGCTGGAGGTGGACTCTAGAGCACTTGGGAGGCTGACTCAGGCACTTGGGGCCAGGATCACACCCTGTTCGTTTCCACTGCTCTTTCGTTGTCCTAGCCCCAACCAGCAGGAGGAGCAGCAAGAGGGAGGCAGAGCAGCCTGCCGGCTGCCAGCACATCAGCCCCTGCAGGGGCCCCGTGGGGCAGGAAGACACAAGTGCAAGCAAATACGCACTCCCTGCCAGCAGCTCAGGGGCGTGCTTAAGTGTCACAGGAGATACTGGCAGCCCGGAGCCAGGACTGTGTCCCCTCCGTGTTACAGGCTGGCAGCCTGGAGCCCTGGCCATGCAGAGCACACCTGCCATTGTACTGCAGAACCCACTGGCAGGAGAGCCCATGCCCAGCTGGGCCCCTCCTGGATCCAAGTCTCCCGGGAACGCCCGGGAACCGGAAATAAAGGGGAGCAGAAGGAATTGCAGAGCGTGCACGTTTAGTCTAAGCTCTGACTTGGGAACAGCTGCCCATCCACTGCACTTCTCCTCTCTGCATCTCGGAGCGGTGCATCGCCAGGCACTGAGACGGATGGGCAGGGGTCAACTGCTCACCACTGAAATGGAGCCAACCCGCTTTGGTCACAGGAAGCCAGGTCCCTGAGCTAGACGGACCTCGGCTCTGACCCCGCCTGGCCATGCTGATGCTCTCTGGGGCAGCGGAAGAGCTGCTGAACGGCTGCACAATAGGCCAGGCCAGGCAATGAGGAAGAAAATGACATTGGAGGGAGAAGGGGTTTTGGGGAGAGTGAGAGACACGGAAACTAACAATCAGAAATGTCAGTGGTCGGGGCACAGGCTTGTCCACAGCTCCCACACCCACCAGCACGGGAGAATCCCATGTAATCGGAGCCAGACAGCACAACACCCTGCTAGGGCTGTACTGGGGCACCAGCTCAGAGGGAAGGCTGCCCTCTACTGAATCACTGGCGCCTCTCCCTGCAGCTCTGGCGTGAGCCAGCCCCAGCTTGTACAGCCCGGCAGGCAAATACAGCTGCAGGCAAAACAGGTTCTGCCAGTCTACAGTGAGCCCTTCTCCATGACCCCTTGCTCCCCTCTTGTAACCCACTCACCCCAGCGGCACAACCTCTTTTCCTCAGCAGAGGGAAAGGTCTTTCCTCCGCTGCCTTGGGGCCAGAGTCTGCTCCCATTTGTATGGCCCCGTGAGTTTCCCCATTGACTCTAATGGGAGTGGGATGGGGCAGTTATCTGCATGTACTTGGATCTGCTTGAATGCCGACTGGGGGCTCACCCAGCAGCCACATGGGGCTTGTGTGCACAGTACAGCAAAGTGCACTCCCCAGGGGCTCTCTGGAAAGGGCTGTCGTGGGCTGCACTCAGACTGCCCAGCACACTAACACGAACCCTTTAGACCGCACCCGCAGGGCAGCAGGAGCACAGCACAGTAGGGTGCTCTAAAAATCAGCGTTGTGTCCCGCCATGTCGACAAGCCCTTCAGGGTTCATGTTTGGGCCTGTGTCGCACCCAGTGGCCTCAAGGATCTTACAGTAATAGCCAGAGTGCTATCCAAATGTCATCAGCTCATAGCAGTACAGGGCCTAGGACACGTGGATGAGCATTTCCGAGTCTATCCAGCAGAAGGCAATGCTGCAGGTGCTCATCCCCCGATCATTGACTGTCTCATTCCACAGTGACATGTGCACCGGTATCACTGGTGTTCATGGTCTCAGACATATTCCAGAGGGCAGCTACAGCAGCAGCCAGACCCATCAAAGAGCAGGAGCTGCTGTCAGTTTAGCATGGCCAGGACTTGTCACTGACAAGGGTGGGGAATCGGCATGGGGCAAATGCTTTATGGGATGAATCCGCGGTGACCCATGGGCTCAGTACCCACAATCCTCGGGCACATGGACTGAATGCTAACATGGGAAGAGTGTAGAAGAGCCCTTGGGTCCCATAGTAATGTCTGGCAGAAGCACCCATGCGAGTCCTTTCCTACCCAGAGTGGGCATCCGGGCATTATATCATGGGTGCTTCCTCACTGTCCCATCCCCAGCTGGCCAAAGGGGTGCACGTCTCCTCAAAGTATAGATAAAACGCTACTGCCATCACCCCAGCCACACCCTCGTGGTACCCTCCATCTGTCTGCACGTGCCCCTCCCCTGTGGCCAGAGACTCGCCAATATGTGAATGGCCACTTTGCTTTGCTGCAGGCTCCCATCCATGTGGGGGTGCTGGCGAGCAATCCATGCCACACCCGCCCCCAGCAAACCCACCAGGTCTACCAACTAAGCCCCATCGTGAGAAGCAGCATGGTAATAGGATCACGTTGGGGCCCTGCTCTCTGTCTTGCCCTTTGTTGACAGATGCCAGGCCAGCTTCAGCTGTGGCTCTTGACTTCATTGGGGTTGTGCCCATCCGTGCCAGGGCCGTACTCACCCATCATTCCATCCATCACTTGCACAGAGGGCCCCACAGCTGCAGACATAGCTACTGAAGCTGCCCACAGGAGCACACCCCCTCCCCACAGCCATTCCCACAAGTGGCCTGTCTTCGTTCCCACGGGGACAGCTTGATTCTAGTGCTAGTGGTGGGGTGGGCATGAAAGTAACCCTGGCTATGAAAGTTATCCGGGGCACTCGGAGCAGACAGGCATGCCTTGCAAAGGGCACTGCTCCAGGTGCACGGCATGGGACTGCATAAGGCCTGGATGTCTCCAGGAGCGCGTACTGGGAGGGGTACATGTCCGCATGGCGCACGGAGCCATGTGTAACTCCTGCAGGTGCACGGGTGTATCTCCAGTGCCAGAGCTGCCCCGTGCCCCGCTGGCTGCGTGCACAGACGGCAGCCCGTTCAGGTGCACGGCGCGGTGCTGTCCTATCTAGATGAGCAATGCTGAGCTCATGCAAAGCTCTTGGGCCGTGACTTCCCCGGACCCACCTGTTATTGAGCAGGGCGAGGAGCTCCCCAGCGTGGTACAGGTCGTTCTTTGTCACCCGGCTGAAGCGGAATTCATTGAGGTTGCAGAAGGTGACAGCGGGGAAGGTCAGCCTGGTTGTGGCCACTTCATCCAGCTTGGTGACGTGTGGGTAGAGGAAGTAGTACTGGATCCTCTCCGTGCAGACGTAGGCCAGCAGGGCCACAGAGCCCAGGAAGCAGAGAGTCCACATGATGCGCTTGAAGGAGAGCCTCTCGTAGGAGATGATGTGGGACAGGCCGTGCAGCGTGGAGCTGCTGGCAAAGGCCTGGATGCTGACTGGATGGCCATTCTCCACCTCCTCCTCGTCCACTTTCAGGTCCATCATAGTCAGGGCTGAGGTGCAGCGCAGGCCACTCTGTGAAGAATATAGGAGCCCATTACTCCCAGCGCAGCCACATGGACAAGCCAGCCTGGACGCTGATGCTCCTCCCAGGCTAAGGACCTCCGCAGGGACAGCAACGATGCCACCGGGGGCGAGGCAGTAATGAAAGGCGTGTTCCCCGTGGACTCAGCATCCCAGGAAATGGAGCGAACGATGGGAATCCTGGGAGGATGCTCCCAGCTGCCTCTGAGGGATTCTATCCCATGACCGGGGGGTTTAACACAGCCCCTCATATTTCTACATGCCTGCCACCCTGCCTCTGTCACGGTGATGTCCACACACCAAAGCTAGTGACCATTCTCCCCCAACCAACTCTTTCACCGGCTTATCAGATCCTCCCCCTTTCCTCTCCCCCTCCCCCCCAGCACTAGCATGTCAAGAAACAGATCAAAGAGACACGAATCCAAACCTGAAGGCAGGGTCAGTGTCCAGAGCTGGGTCCACACGGCTCCTGCAGGGCTGGTCCCAGCAGCAAAGAAGCCAGGTCCTTGCACATAGACCTGCCTCCACCTCTCCCCGTCTGGAGGAGAAGAAGGGAGCGAGGGAGACGCATGCACGGAAGGATGTGAGAGTCACAGAGACTGGCAGGTGGAGGAAAACCGGAAAAAGAAGGAGAGAAATAAAAATAACCCTCACCCCTCAAGTCCCTTCGGCGGGAGGGGGGCGATCCTGGGCAATCTGGGCTGCACCAAGGCACCGGTTCACTGCAGCTGCTCAGGGAAATCAGAGGCGATCATAGCTGGAAAGGAGGCAGCTGAAGGGAGAGAAGAGCAATTGAGAAAGCGAGCGAGCAGGCGTCTGTATCCCTGCCAAACACATGGATACCTCCCCTTGTGGCTATTCAGAAGCGTGTTATTCCTTCAGATGCATAATCCGCATGAATTCATTGTCTCCGTGCTGGTGGGGCCCAAATGGCGAGCGGACGGGTCCTGCAGGGGCTGATGGGGAGCTCAGCGCGAGGGAGCGAGGGAGAGAAAGACAGACCAGGGGAGAGGAGGAGGAGGTGGAGGAGGCGGAGGAGAGCGGCTCTGGAGGTACCGAGGCAGCGAGTGCAGTCTGGCTGTGCTGTACTGGCTGGCAGAAGCTGTTGATGCTGATGCCGTGTGCATGTGGAGAGTGTGTGTGAGGGACTCTCCCATCCCCCCGTGCTGTCTTAATCAATGCTCCACTCCTCTCGCAGTCGATGGCACCGCCTGCCACAAAAACAGCATGTCCTAGTCGGGGACAATCCTGCCCTGGCCAAAGCCTGACCCCACTGATCTAATAGGTCATTGCCATCCTGTCCCTTCTAGGGTTCTCAATCGCAGTGTGATCCATTCATCCCCAACTTAGGGGCAGTGTCTGGTCTGTAACAGCAGCATTACTGTGCCCGGAGCCGTCTCTCTCCTTTGCTTCTCTTCAGTCTGAGCTGGATCAATGAGCCTAGAATAAGGAGGAACTGAATAGCCACTTGTCTCAGAACCTCTCTCCCCCCCGAAGGCTGGCAGGACAATGGTGAATCTCAGTGATTTATTTCTAGTCTCCCAAACTCTCTGCACTTTGTCATCACGTCCTCCAGTGCCAAGTGGGTGTAAAATGTTACCAGATCAGAATGAATATGCACATTGCACTCACAGCACGACAAGGGAAAGGGCAGGGAGTTTTAAACCCTCTTTTCTCCCTAGCTCTACAAGTTCAATCATTTCCCAGCCAAGCAATTCCACTTATTACCCCACCCCATTTTTCTATAGTTTGCAGAGCCTTGCAAGAGTCATGAAAATTCTCTCCCCCGCTCCAAAACCTGCAAATCTGCCCTGACCGTGAGGATGACAACAGAGAAATAAAACCCCAAAGACAGCTTTACTCAATCATAAACCATAGCACAGTAGAGATTTTCCCCAGCTGAGCCGCTGAGCGCAATTCTGCAGGCCAGGCAGAGTGGAGGTAGAGGAGCAGACTGGTGGCCCATGATTCCTGCCGTCTGATTGCCCCGACGAAAGTGTGTGGGGCCCCTACAGCTCAACATTTCCATGTGCACACCCAGGAAATTGGGGGGCCTTTTGCCTTTCATCCGCTGCACCTTCCGATTTTTAAGTTCTCTCTCCTAGGCTGATATTTGGCTACTGAAAAGACACACACATTGTCCTTTCTCTCAGGGAGACTTGATTTTTATCCCTTCGGGAAGGTCTACACTAGCCCCCTAGTTCGATCTAGGGAGGCTAATGAGGGTGACTGAAATTGCAAATGAAGTGTGGGATTTAAATATCCCGCGCTTCATTAGCATGTTCCCGGCCGGTCGCCATTTTAGAAATTGACTAGCCTGAAGTAATTACCCGCGTGAACACGCGGCAGTGAAACGGGATTCTGAATTAAAGCCCTAACTCGAATTAGCTGGTATTCCTCCTGCAATGAGGGTTACCAGCTAATTCGATTTAGGACTTTAATTCGGAATCCTGTTTCACTGCCGCGTGTTCACGCGGGTAATTACTTCAGGCTAGTCAATTTCTAAAATGGCGACCGGCCGGGAACATGCTAATGAAGCGCGGGATATTTAAATCCCACACTTCATTTGCAATTTCAGTCACCCTCATTAGCCTCCCTAGATCGAACTGGGGGCTAGTGTAGACATACCCTTCCCGAGGATGCTCTTTTGGGGCCTATCCACACAAGAGAGAAAAGGTGCGTTTGTAGCCACATTGCCTAACATGGTAAAATCCACGTGTGGACAAGGCCATTGTAGTTTTAACGCTGTTAGTAAGTCATGGTAAATGCTAGCCCCTCCCTCCCCCACCGTCTCTTCCCAGTCTTCACCTCAGTCTACTTACACACAGAAACCACAAATGACCTTGCTTTCACAAAGATTTACCCCACATCAGTGACTACGTTAGCTACTGTGAGGCAAGATAACACCATGCCCTAAAGATCCACCCAAATCTTGGACAGAGCCTGTTGAAGAGTCATTGGCTAGCAGGTAGTAATGAGACCAAGGTTTTCATCCTGGAAACCTTGTATTCACACCAGCTGGTTTTCTCTCTCCCTCTCAGAGTCAGGGCTGTCAAGACAGGATGACCCACAAAATGAACAGTCAAATGCTAGGGGGTAATGAATGGGGAAAAGGGTTTAACAGAACTCTCCCAGGTCTACTTTCTGGCCATGGTTTGAATTCCCACAACCTTTGAAGAGAACGAACAAGCTGTAGTGGCACTGGTTTGATAGCAGCACTTGGTCAGAGGTGGAGAGTCAACACAAGACACGAGGAGACAGAAGGGGACATTCACCCCACCAATTTGAACATTGTTTTCATGACCCTGTGTTGTAATACACGAAATAAATGTGTGTGACTGTGGGTTCATATGTACATGTATATGCAACAACACACATGAAACTGTGTGCGCAATTTGCAAACCATGATACCACATTAATGTATACACTCAGGATTTGTGTGTGCAAATCCCTTCTTTGTACGTGGAGTAGCACACAATGGCATACACACTTTTACATTTTCCGTTGGGAAAATCTGCCCTATAAAATTCCCAGTTTTCATCCCTGGTGCATCAGTCTCCCTCTCTTGGAAATGATGGAGGCTCCCACCAGACAGGGACCAGAGATGTACAACCCCTGAAAAGGCGGGTGAAAAGCTGCACGTGCCATGTGATGCAGACTTCACCTTGGAGCTTTAAAAGCATCAATGGCACCTGCCCTGTTGCCCAAGGGCCAGAGCGCAGCTCCTGCCATGATCTGGCAGTACAAGAGGACTCCCAAGCCAAGTTAGCTTTTGCTCCATCCCACCTCCTGTCTCATCCCAGGGGCTCTGGCTGCGTAAGGCCATTGCACAGCTGTAACTGACTGATGAGTGGCTATTTCCCGGGAGTGTCAGTCACTGAAAGGGGATACATAAGGCTGCTGGCAAACGTCACCCGAAAACTTCATGTGGTGCTAGGTGCAACCGGCTCGTAGGCGATGAATAGCCCAGTGGTGCATCTGCATCTGCACAGTTCTAATTGGGTGCAACTCAAGGACTAGGTTCTGATTTATTCTAGGGATGTAAAATCCTATTTAATCAGTTAAATGTAACATTTAACCAGTTAACTGGTTAACCACTTAACCAGGGGCTGCTCCAGCTTGGCCAGGCCCACTGAGCTGTGGGCTGCTGTGGCCAGGCTGGGCCATGACCACTGTGGATGGAGGCTGCTCGGGTTGGGCCGGGTCCGCTGCACCGCATCGTGGGCACAGGGCTGCTCCGAACAGGCTGGGTGAACTGCTCTGCGAGTGAGGAGCTGCTGCAGCCCAGCCAGGCCTCTGGTTGACCTGTTACCAGTATGCATCACCTAGTAAGGTGATGCTTGTAGTAGGTCAGGATTTACTGTTGTGTTGTCCTGACAGGTCAAATACCCCATCAGTGATGATAACCAGTCAGTGTGCTCAGTGATGTGGACCGTGTTGACTTGCACAATTAGTCAGCACAGCAGACCCTGAGAGAGCCCCCAAAGACCACAAATCAGATAAGGATCAAAGGTGCCCAGCCAGGTTCATTGTTAAGCAAAGTACAGTCATAGTTGTCAGTAGACTCTTCTGAACCACTACATATATACACCCGTAACAATGGACTCAGCTCAGTCAGTGGGAGGTCCCACTGCCCCCTTGGCTGGATAAAAACTGTCCCCCCCAGGTTACTACCCTTTACCGCTACTTAGATACCACCCATCCCCCTGCACCTCGTGGTTCAATGGGAACATCTCTATCCGTCATGCTGTCATTTTAGACCCTTTCCTGAACCTGGGTCAGTATCTCTGGAGCATATGGGTACCAAGGTCTTTCTTAACGAACTGGTGGTACCATCCTTTTGGAATGCGCTTTCCACATATGACCAGGGCCAATTACCGTTTTACAGTCGGTACCTAGTACCAATGACTGTTCTACCCCAGGCCTATTACCAATTAGTGTTTTGCATGCTCAGCCCTGTTCGTGCCAAGTTCTGCGGGCAAGGGCCGGCCTCTTGCTCACAGTTTAGCTTTGCTTTATATTAGCCAAGTGTTGTCCATTGTTAGCTAGGCCTCAAACCAGGCCCATGCTACCTGGTCTTTTGTTTCAGGCTCTCATCTTACTACAATGCTTACTAGTTAATCGGTTAGGGTATGTCTACATTAGCCCCCTAGTTCAATCTAGGGAGGCTAATGAGGGTGACTGAAATTGCAAATGAAGCGCGGGATTTAACTATCCCACACTTCATTAGCATGTTCCCGGCTGGTCGCCATTTTAGAAATTGACTAGTCCGAAGTAACTGCTCGTGTCTACACACGGCAGTGAAACGGGATTCTGAATTAAAGCCCTAAATCGAATTAGCTGGTAAACCTCATTCCAGGAGGAATAACAGCTAATTCGAATTAGGGCTTTAATTCAGAATCCCGTTTCACTGCCGCGTGTAGACGCGGGCAGTTACTTCGGACTAGTCAATTTTTAAAATGGTGACCGGCAAGGAACATGCTAATGAAGCGCGGGATATTTAAATCCCACGCTTCATTTGCAATTTCGGTCGCCCTCATTAGCCTCCCTAGATCAAACTGGGGGCTATTGTAGACATGCCCTTACATCCCTAATGTATTACACCCTTTGCCGTTTGGAAGCTGGCTATTTTGGGGCCAAAGGGCCTGGTTTTCCTCTTTCACTTCTGACAATTTGATTGTCTTCAATGGAGTGTAACTGGTGGGCACTGGGGAATCAGACCCCTTCCCTCTCCTTACAGCTGTAACCCAGCAGCCAGGACTCAGCATTGAGAGCAGCTGGGACCATAGGTATGGCAGCACATTTCATTAGGGTGTGCACTCAAATAATTTTTTTTAAATGTACTGTTTGACCCCCATTAGCCGCACCCCGACCTCTGTTAACCACGCCCCTGACTCCCGTTCGCTACGCCTCTGGAGGTAACACTCTCGGGGCAAGATGGACACATGACCAGAAGTAAAAGGTGTCATGTGACCCCCCTCTAAGGACTTTTCCCACCATCCTCCTACCAACAGGGATTAGTTTGGCCCATATCAAACCCCTCTCATGCAACTATCCTGCAATTACATTAACCCAATGGCTACGTCTAGACTGGCAAGATTTTCCGGAAATGCTTTTAACGGAAAAGTTTTCCGTTAAAAGCATTTTCGGAACAGAGCATCTAGATTGGCACGGACGCTTTTCCACAAAAGCAATCTAGACGCGCTTTTCCGCAAAAAAGCCCCGATCGCCATTTTCGCAATCGGGGCTTTTTTGCTGAAAACAAAATCGGAGCTGTCTACACTGGCCCTTTTGCGCAAAAGTTTTGCGCAAAAGGACTTTTGCCCGAACGGGAGCAGCATAGTATTTCCGCAAGAACACTGACAATCTTACATGAGATCATCAATGCTTTTGCGGAAATTCAAGCGGCCAGTGTAGACAGCTGGCAAGTTTTTCCCGGAAAAGCGGCTGATTTTCCGGAAAAACTGACCAGTCTAGACACAGCCATTGGGTGTGGTGCCCTGCCTTTTTCCGGAAAAATTGGCCCAGTCTAGACACAGCCAATGTGTGTGACATTAACTCCGGGGTGGAGAGGCTGGGGAAGTGTTCTCTCTAAGAGTTTCCTCCTATGAGCAGAATGAATTTTGTGTTGTGCACCAGTACTGAGTTCATGTGACTTGTTTGGATGTGTCACTGTGGCACCCAAGTTATTAATAATTATCTTATAAACCTCTACCTTTTCCCTCTGCTGCCATGTCTCCTCCCCTTGCTCCATCAGCTCCCCTGGTGCCTGCTGCCCTCCAGCCCCTCATCCTCCTCTGCTGTCCTGACTCCTGCCCTTCTCACTGCCCTCAGCCCTCCTGAGACCTGCCCCCCTCCACCAGCCCTTCTCTCCTCACTGTGCCCACTCCTCCAGTAGCCCCACTCTGATCATGTGAGCTACCCCTCCTCATCCCCTCTTCTAACACCTCCCTCTACACACCTGGCCTGCCTCTCTCCTCTGGTGCTGGTCCCTCTGCTTCACCCCCAGTATCCCCTAGCACCTGCACCTTCCCTTAGCCCTGCACCCTCCTGGTGCCTCCCCCTTCCCTCACTGTCCCTGCCCCCTTTTCCCCTGATTCCCCCTCGTCCCTCTCTGGAGTCCCCCCCTACATTAGGGGGTGATCCCTGGGGGCTGCTGATGGGTTCTGTGGCTTCCATGAGTAACCCCACTGCTGGGGCCACTAAGACCCGTCACAAGAGAGGCCCAGGGTGTTCTCCAGCTGTCTCGTGCAGGCTGCCCCAGAGGGCCCAGGTTGGGGGGGTCTTGCCAATTAACCTCATACATCAGACAGTATCCAGTGTTTCTGGCCATATGGTTTCAGAGCAAGACCCTCTCACTGGGACACATTAAGCAGGCCCAGATGGCTGCCAGGGAGTGTACGTATCTGTGAACTGGAGACATGGACATTGCCCGTCAGGGAGGGGAAAAGAGCAACAATTTTTCTTGGCTGGGGGCAACTGCAAGGAGTAGCCTTTTTGCCCTCTTGCAGGAGCCTACTTTCTGATCTGCCTGGGGGATTTTAACCCTCCCCCGACTCTCCCTCACTCCTGCCCCAGGGAATCTACCCTCTCAGGGTGCAGGTTTATCCTGCCCTCCCTCAACCCAGCCTCAGGCAGAGGTGCCGAGGGAGGATGCCCATGTGTCCCCCCCCCCCCCCCGAGCCTGCAAATGCAGGCAGGGACTGGAAGGGGTTAAAGCCCCACCTCTCTGCCTGCTCCCACCCCGGCCCCGCCCCGCCAGCTCCGGACAGTGCTAGTGGCTGGTCTGTTTCCTCCCTGCCTCCCTCCCCTGCTTCTGCATTCAGAGCCAGATTCCCTTGAATTATCCACCCCTGCTGGAGCCTCTTCCCGAAACTTTCGGGCAGCGGGCAGGGCCTCGCCTGCCATGAGTCCGCCCCTGCCAGGCAGCCTCCCCGGCCCGGCACTGCTGGCCCACGGGCTCTACGCCTCCTGCACCGCCCCCTGCATCTGGGCTCTGCGCGGCGTCCAGGAGCGGCTTGCAGGGTTTATCCCCCTCCTCCTCCAGCAGCCTCCAGCCGGCCCATCTGCCATGCACGCCTGTGGCTGGGACTCAGCATTAGTTTTGAGCACCAGGAGGGAGTTTCCTCAGCTCTGGAAATTTGTTTCTCCCTCCTGATCTGACAAAGTCTTGAGTTTGCTGAATGTCAAGGCACTCTGCGCTTTGCTCAGGTTTTGTCTGGGGATTCAGTAGAGGAGCCAGGCCCTCAGCTCAAGGCAGTTGGGAATTTCGTTACTGAATAGCTCATATTTACAACACAGCTTCACATGTCTTGCATCTTCCAACCAAGAGTCTCACTGCCCTTGCCAGATTCCATGAGACCAGAAAGCATCATGCCACTTTGCAAACCAGCACACAGTGATGCTATACGATTTACCCTAAGGGCAGATAGCAGGGGCCCGGCTTCCTAAGCTCTGCACTAGCCCCTTGAATCTGCTTTCTAAACTGGAAACTACTGTTTTAGACAAGAAAAAAAGAATGCAGACCACTCTATCCAAGCAACAGCTGAGCTCAGCTGATGAAATGCAGGAGTGTGCAGAAGAAAGAGGCTTCTTTGTGAGCAACAGAAATCATGGATTAAAAAAAAAAAATCTATTTATGGATGTAGAAGCATTAAAACTTTTACTGTAGAATCTCAGCCTGTTCTTTGGCTTTTACAGGAGAAGTATGTTACAAGGAGTCCTGTGGCACCTTATAGACTAACTGAAGTGTAGGAGCATAAGCTTTCGTGGGCAAAGACCCACTTCATCAGATGCATGTGACAAAGTGGGTCTTTGCCCACGAAAGCTTATGCTCCAACACTTAAGTTAGCGTATAAGGTGCCACAGGACTCCTCGCAGCTTCTTTGCTGAAGTCAGTGGAGCCAGCGAAAAGAGCCCCAACAGCAGGACATGTTTTAACAGAGTCAATTTGCATATGGGATAAATAGCAGGATACAGCCAAGCCCACCATTTCAGACACTAACCCTGCTCCTTCTCACTCAAGTTTCTGTGAGCCAAGGTCCCCTGAGACCCTTGGCTAAGTCTCTCTGCCAGGTGCTCATCTCTGGACAAGATTAGTAACTACTGTCCTGCTCTCAAGCCACCCACAGCGCCTCATAGAATCCTAGGGTTGGAAGAAACCTCAGGAGTCATCGAGCCCAAAGCAGGACCAACCCCAACTAAATCATCCCAGCCAGGGTTTTGTCAAGCCGAGACTTAAAAACCTCTAGGGATGGAGATTCCACCCCCTCCCTAGGGAATCTATTACAGTGCTGCACCCCCCTCCTAGTAAAGTAGTTTTTCCTAATATCCAACCTAGACCTCCCCACTGCAACTGTCTCCTCCTCCCTTCCCCTTCAAATCCTTCCTGTCCTCTTTCACTAAGGCTGTGTCCAGACTCAGGGTTTTTTTCGGGAAAAGTAGCCTTTTTCCGAAAAAACTTCCCCTGCGTCCAGACTCAAGCCGCGTTCTTTCGAAATTAAATCGAAAGAATGCGGCTTTTCTTTCGATGGCGGTAAACCTCATTTCACGAGGAAGAACGCCTTCTTTCGAAAGTTCCTCTTTCGAAAGAAGGCGTTCTTCAATGTAAATAGGGCTTCTTCGAAAGAGAGCATCCAGACTCACTGGATGCTTTCTTTCGAAAAAGCAAGCCGCTTTTTCGAAAGTTCAACGTGCAGTCTAGATGCTCTCTTTTGAAAGAGGCTTGCAGTCTAGACATAGCCTAAGAGTATCAGAGGGGTCGCCGTGGAAGTCTATAACTTAAAAAAAAAAAAAAAAAGGAATAGTCCTGTAGCACACTAGAGACTAACAAATTTTTATATATTCCCTCAGATGTGAGTGGAGAAAAAAGGGAAAACTTCCCAGAAAAAGCAGGGAGAGTGAGAGGGGAAAAAAACAACCACCTGTCCATAGTAATGCTGGCGCTAATGAGGCTGTAAATGTCCCGTACTTAGCTTCTGACGTCATTTGGGTGCTGAATATAACAGCCCATCATGTCTTTGTTCAGGCCATGCCAGATTGTGGAATATGCAAATTTGACACTGTTTCCTTCTGTAGCTGGTTCCTGAAATTCCTTTGTAGGACACTTACAAACTTGGCCTCATTAGCACCGGCACTGCAGTTGACAGGTTTTTTTCTCTCTCTCCCCCTTCTTTTTCTGTTACAGATTGGGAGGGTTCCCCTTTTTTTCCTCCATTCTCATCTGAGGAAGTGGGTTGTGCCCACCAAAGCTCTTGTATTTTGTTAGTCTCTAATGAGCTACAGGACTACTCATTGTCTTTGATGAAGTTCTTCAAGGCAGGTCCCACCGTGTGTTTGTGCCTGTCCCATACTCAACACAAAGGGGTACTAACTGGCCTCCTGGGTTGCAGCTTCAGTGGAGATACCAAGGGCCAAATGGGCCTGTCAAGGGGTACACCCCTGGCATGGGGTACGCCCCCCCCTCTAAGGTCTCGTTACGCCCATTTGGGCCCCTTGATCAGGGCCTACATGGTACTAACCATCCCAACACAAAGTCCAGGCCCCTCTATCAGGGCAGATACGGTACTCCTAGTCTCAATACAATGTCCCAGCCCCTCTATCAGGGCAGATACAGTACCAGAGGCCCAGCCCTGGGAAAAGCCTCTCCTGGCCGGGGGTGATTGCCCAGGATGCAGAAAGAGGTGGTAGGGGGACCCAGGCCCTCCCTCTCCACCAGGTCCCAGCCCAGGGCCCTTTAGATAGGGACAGTTGCTCCTGCCTGCTCGGTAGGAATCCAGCCAATACTCACGGAGCTGTGATAGCAACCCCTTGCCCTGGGCTGCTTCCTACCACCCTGGTACCCCGATAGTCTGTCTGCCTTGATGTCTGTCCTTACTGGGGTTAGGGCTGTAGGTGATCCGGTCCCTCAGGCGGGGTTGGCTGCTGGCTCTTCTCCCAGAGTCCAATGCTGGCTCTCTCTCTCCGGCCTCAGCTGCTGCAGGAACACTAGGATTGCTGCCTGTACCCTTCTACCCTCCAGCTGCTGCGCAGCTGCCTCTCTCTCTCTCTGCAGGGCTCCCTCTGCATTTATACTCTGGCTCTGCTGGGAGCAGGCCCAGCAGGACTGGAGGGGTGGGGCTTTTTCAGCCAGCTGGGCCTGGGCTACTCCCAGCCCTTCAGTGCGGGGCCTGGTCCTCCCGTCACAGGGACATAGAGACTCATCTCCCTTCATACTCAGAGGCTGTGTCTAGACTGGCCACTTTTTCCAGAAAATCAGCCGCTTTTCCGGAAAAACTTGCCAGCTGTCTACACTGGCCGCTTGAATTTCCACAAAAACACTGACCATCTCATGTAAGATTGTCAGTGCTTTTGCGGAAATGCTATGCTGCTCCCGTTCGGGCAAAAGTCTTTTCCCGAAAAACTTTTGCGCAAAAGGGCCAGTGTAGACAGCAGAGATTTGTTTTCCGCAAAAAAGCCCCGATCGCGAAAATGAAAATGGAAAAGCATCCTGCCAATCTAGACGCGCTTTTCTGAGAATGCTTTTAACGGAAAACTTTTCCGTTAAAAGCATTTCTGGAAAATCATGCCAGTGTAGACGTAGCCAGAGGGACTTCTCTGTCTAACGCCGGAGGTGCATTGGCAGGGAAAGCTTGCCCTGGCAAAGGCCGTGCTGCAGCAACCACAGAGGGTTCAGTGTCCAGGGTGGGAAATTGGGAACCTTTCCTTGGTGCACAAGTCACAGCCTTTCAAGAAGACGCATTTTTTTGTGCCACATCCTGAGCTGGTGTAAATCAACATTGCTCCAGCGAGGTCTGTGGGGCCACACTGATTTACGCTAGCTGGAGATTTGGCCCATAACCTGGAAATTTAAGATTTCAAAGCAGTTTTCAAACCCTTCTTTTGTGAGTCTGCTAAAAAGTGATGTCACTGTTTGCAGATGCTTTTACCTTCTCCTGCTCCAGTTTGCACATTGGCTAAGCAGGAGAGCTGACAGGTCCGTGTTGATCGCTGTCTCTGTGTTAGGGTTTCTAATGGAAATTCAGAGGCGAACGCACCACAAAGAGAACATCTTTTCTCCTCTACTCTCTTGCTGGTTTTAACTGTCATATTTATTTTTTACAAACGAGCCAATCTCTGCTGTATTTTTATCGACAGTCAATTCACCAACGGTGAAGCTGAAGAACTTGGACATGTGTTGTTTGAGACATCTGAGCATATGTGCAATGCTTGCGTGCTCTTTCCCCCTTCTGTGTGGATTCTGAGCTGCTCATCTGTGTGGTATAGACCCTACGTTGGAACATAGGAATGGCCACACTGGGTCAGACCAAAGGTCCATCTAGCCAGTGTCCTGACTGCTGACAGTGGCCAACGCCAGGTGCCCCAGAGGGAATGAATGGAACAGATAATCATCAAGAGAATCATCCCCTGTTGCCGATTCCCAGCTTCTGACAAACAGAGGCTAGGGACACCATCTCTGCCCACCCTGACTAATAGCCATTGATGGGCTAATCCTTTTCCAAATCCTGTTAAAATCCTGGACTTCACAAAGCCCTGTGGCAAGGAGTTCCACAGGCTGACTGTGCGCTGTGTAGCTAACAGAAAATCTTCTTCACATCAAGTGGTCAGTGCCTCTGCTTTTGTAGCAGGTTCTCTCCCCATTGCTGCCATGAACCTCCAGGAGCCATTTTGGGAGTGCTAGGAGTCCTTCCATCAACCTGACCAGCCTCTGACAATCCTTCGGGCCTCACACACAGTAAGTGGGACTTCAGCAACATGGAACGGCATCACACTGCCCCCTCAAAGATATCTTTCCCTTCCTAGGGAGAAGGACAATTGGGGCTTTTCCCTAAAGGGAAGGAGACCAGCTGCTTCAGGGAAGTGGCGCTGTCAGGAGCTCCCTCCAGCTGGGGACGTCAGACCCTTGCTCAGGGGAGGGGGATGCTTCCAGAAGGGCACCCCCATTCGGCGGAAAATGCCATCCCTGAAGAGAACAGCACATAAAGGTATGGAGAAGACTAGTCCTTCCTCAGCCACTCCCAGCAGACAGAGTAGGCCTAACTAGGCCTCCACCTCACCCCTGCTCTGCTGCCTTAAGGTATTAGACCTGCTCTTTAAAGGGCCCAAAATAGCTAAAAGACCCAGGCTGAAGGCTGTGATTAACAATAGCACTCCTGTGGCATAATGGGGCTCTTATTAATGAGATTAACACTTGCCTGTACAGGACCCAGAACCTCTCAGGGGGTGATCTGAGACTGGGATGAGCTCCTGCAAGAATGAAGAACCAACCCAGAGCTCACCACCTTCCGCTCCAGGAGCAAAGCACATTTCCTTGACCTGAGCCACATTTAATCCACATAGGAACAGGTGTATTTCTTTCTTTTTTTTTTTTAAAGACACACTGCCAGAGAAGGCAGTCATGCTTCTTCCTCTAGGGAGAGGAGGGGAGAACAAACCACCCATGACAGTGGTGTGTCCTGTGGCTTAGCACTGCTTGAAGGCATCAGACTCAACGGTGAGGAGCACCGTGTAGGAAACCTACACAGAATGGAACCAAACAGAATTCTCTTCAGACTCTCACTGCCGCAGGCAGGCAGAGCGGATCCAATTAACAGGAAAAGAGTAATCAAGAAAAGGTGTTAATGTGCCAAACGGTGATTAGGGCTCTTAGCACTGTTCTTAGGAAGTGAGTGTGCCCACACAAGCGGGTGGGGAGGGGGGCACTGAGGCAAGGGGGAAGGCTTCTGGCTAAAAGCCTGTGAGGTAATGCAGGAGACTTCCATGGGTGTGTGGCATCCGTGCTGGAACTAGGAGTGTGTGGGGTGGGAGGGGGGAGATGTGTGTGCTGCAGCACCCCCTGGCCTGAAGTGGTTTCCATTATATCCAGGGTTTACAGTTTGGTGCAATAGCTGTCAGCACCCCCACTATACAAATTGCTCCAGCATCCCTGACATATGGTTCCAATTCCTTCCTCTAGCAGTTGTGCGGATTGAGGCAACCTCTAGGCTCTAGCCCTCGGGTCCATCCCCCACTCGTCTTTCTGGCCATTTAGGCAATTCAGGTCTGAGTGGGAGCCCCCATGTCCTCACCTCCAAGCTGCAGCCCTGTTTTATCTTTGATGGGAGTGGGAGAGGCCGGTCACCAGGCAGGGCTCCTTCCAGACTCCAAAATATACACGGCTATATCCAGGCTCTTTCAAAGAGGTTTCTCCCACAATAGAAGCAAGCGAACAAACAAAAGTATTAGCGTATGAGGACAGAAGCTTTCATGAGCAACAATCTGAGGAAGTTTCTGCCCTAATACCCTAATAAATGTCTTGCAGCCCCTGAGGCTATGTCTAGACTGCAGAGTTTTTGCGCAAAAACTCGTGGAGCATCCACACCTCAAGTGTGTTTTTGCGCAAGAAAATTGACAGAACAGAGGGGTTTTTGCACAAGAGTTATTCCTCTTTCTACAAGGAATAACTCCTTTCTGTGCAAGAGCTCTTTCACAAAAAGGGGTGTGTGGACAGGGAACTGCCTCTTTTTGTGCAAAAAACTCCTATAGAAAAAAACACAGGTTCCCTGGTGACCATTCTGTGACTAGCAATCAGAGCTTTCTTTCGAGAGTGTCCATGCAGTCTGGACGCTTTCTTGTGCAAAAGCGCATCGCTTTTTCGATGCACTTTTGCAGTGTGGACACTCTTGCACAAGAAGTTTTTGCGGAAGATCTCTTCCGCAAAAAGCTTCTTGCACAAGAAGCCTGCAGTGTAGACGTAGCCTGAGAGACTCACAACACATGTAGACGGTATCATGAGCTTCCGTGGGCACAACCCGCTTCTGAAGAACTTCTGAAGAAGTGGGCTGTGCCCACAAAAGTCGCCTGATACCGTCTACATCCTTTGTGAGTCTCTAAGGGGCTGCAAGACTATTGGTTGTTTTTTTAAGGTTTTCAAGTTATAGACTAACGCAACTCCCCCTCTGAAACCTAATAAAGGTGTTAGTCTTTAAAGTGCCATCGGACTCTTTGTTTTTGCTGAAACAGATGAATGCGGCTGCCAGAAAAAAACAGTCCTTTAGCTCAGCCCTGACTTTCAGGGTTCAGACCCACCTCTCTGAGGAGCCTCTGGCAGCTTCCAAGTTTTGACCAACTTTTCAGCCTCAGAGCTGTCTCTTTCCTTTGCCTCAGGGGATTATCCTCTCTCCGCTGGAGCCTTTCCCACACAAACACAACCTATCCCAAACAACTCCTCCTTTTTTGCCCCCCCTAGCAGTCCAGGTGTAGCCTGGTTCCTTTGAATTGGCTGGATTGGACTCATATGCTCTGCTCCAGGGGAGCTGGCCCTAGTCTATCCCCAAGGATCAACTGCCCTTGGACAAGGCTCCAGATACATGAGGTGTCTGCCGGGGCTCAGCACGATTGTTACCTGTTGTGATGATCACCTGTTGTGTTTACTCCATCTGGGGCTTCTGGCATTGGCCACTGTCAGCGGACAAGATGCTGGGCTAGATGGACCATTGGTAGGGGCCAGTTCAGCCATTTTTATGTCATTCTTCAGTGGGCAGGCTAAGGTCCTCTATCCTCCCAGAGTGACACTCCTCTGCTTTATGTGGGCTGGAAGCGGTCGCCAAAGGGGAAGGTCTCAGACTACCACCCCCATCTCAGTGGAACACCTTGTGAGGTCGGATGGTTCCCCCCTCCCCAGTGTCACAAAGGGCCACAATGAGGTAGCAACAGAGCCTTTGCCAGGCTGGTATCAGCAGAGATGCCACAACGCAGTGGGTGTGAGCGACCGTCTCAGGCTCTTTGAAGACTCAAGAAGATGTGACTGCGTCAGTTACACTGGAGTCACACCTGCAGTGGTTCCCCTCCCAACCATGAGGGCTAGCAAGAGATTTTTTTTGGAAGGAATGTTTAGATCATGTCACCCTCACGTGACAGGATCCTACACACATGCCCATTGTGACTGTGACATAACAGGCTTCATTGTTACTCTCCCTGAAGAGCTCCTCAAGTGCACACCCTAAACCCTCACTCTGAACTGTTCCCTTGGTACTCACCCTACAAAAACCCTTTCAGTGTTCCTCGCACA